CGCAGTCTGGTCATTAGCAGAGGAAGGGGAATTAGGGTATTAGAGGCGAGTCCCCGCAGCCGGTGATTCTTGGAATCGGTTGCCGTGGAGACGAAGGCGAGAGACTCGGCTCAGTAATGTAATTAGCGCTGCGGTCTCACAGCGGCCGCCCATCTCCGGGGTAAGGAGGCCGCTTATCTATAACGGGCAGGAAAGGAGGCCAGTGCGAGGACTGGATGCAGAGACAGCGATGGAAGGAGTCAGGAGCACCTAGACATGGACATGAGAATTAAACTGTCACCCTGAGCAGTGATTGGCTCAGCCATCAGAGAAACACATGAGGGGGGGGAGGAGGAGATGCAGTTACCCAGAGCAACAAGTCATCTTACAGGAGATGAGTTACCCAGAGCAACAAGTCACCTTACAGGAGATGAGTTACCCAGAGCAACAAGTCACCTTACAGGAGATGAGTTACCCAGAGCAACAAGTGAATTTCCCTCCATTAGATGGGAAAAGCTGAACTATGGAATAAGTACATATTGTCTGAATCGGGAGACAACCTCGGTACTCCGGCTATAGCGAAACTACACATCCCATTATGCCTCTGCAATGCCTGTCATAGCCTGAAAGTGCATAATGGAACTTGTATTTCCACAACAGGTGGAGGGCCAAGATTGCCTACCCCGGTCTAAAAACAAATGACGTGTGTATTCCTGAATCTGTGCAGTAATCCCGTGTAAGACTTGGAGTTTCCTGTAACACCTCCCTGTTGCAGGCTGACTGGTCTTGTCTCCGCCCCCTCCTGTAATAAAGACCGCTCACTGCTGCTCTCTCTTTGTACAGGGTGACTGGTCTCGTCTCCGCCCCCTCCTGTAATAAAGACCGCTCACTGCTGCGCTCTCTCCTTGTGCAGGGTGTCTGGTCTTGTCTCCGCCCCCTTCTGTAATAAAGACCGCTCACTGACGCTCTCTCTCTTTGTACAGGGTGACTGGTCTTGTCTGTCTCTTAGGGCGAGCAGGGTAACAGCTGCTCCTTACACTTACCTCTGCGCTGACCCAAATTCAGTCCCAGCTAACCGCCTCCTCTGCAGCTGGGTAGAAAGAAGTCCACATAGGGCAGCTGTGTGCCAGGACATAACATACCGTATTTTTCGCTCCATAAGACGCACTTTTTTCCCCCCCAAGAGGAGGGGGGAAATGTGCCTGCGTCTCATGGAGCGAATGCCGACGCCCGAGACACATGCAGGATCGGGCGAGTAGTAGGAGCCACTGCTCGTTTAATACGAGTGATCTAATGAGATCACTCGTATTAAAAGCGAGCAGCGGCGACTATCGAGATCACCATAGAGCAGACGAAGAACGGACTTTCTTCGTCTGCTCTGTGTGATCACTGAGACCGTGGCGCTGTAATCACAGCGCCCCCTGTCTCAGCGGTCACTAACTGCAGCTTCTGTCATAGAAGCTGCGACAGAAGCTACGGTGTGTGGAGTGTTCCATAAGGCGCGCCGGACCTCCTGCGTCCTATGGTCCGGTGCGTCTTATGGACCGCAAAATACGGTACATAGCGGGGACCGGGCAGGCGTAGAGGTCAATACAAGTCTTCACAACTTCCCTCAGCCCACTGCAGAGATCCAAAAAGTCTCAGACCAGCCCAAATCCCCCCC